ACCTAGCATTTTCCAAGCTTAATCATGGAAGTCTTGTTTTAGAAAAACATTAACAGCTCATCTACTCAATCATGTATGGTCTAACTTGGCAAGAGACACTGGTTCCACCCTAACAGTTCCTTTTGTTTTTCACCTGACACTAGACTTTGCCTGTAAGCACTGATGAAGACATCTCAGGAATTTCTGTATAACCATTATAAAGGAGACTCTATAATTTGCATATAAGAACCATCACAGGAGCTTGGTGCACAGGTGGCTGGGCTGTGTGCAGCGCCTACCAATTCATAATCCCCTGGAATATAGAAGGAATTAGAGTTTAGAACTAATCTATGAACGTTAATGTGGTAGGGAGTCTCTGGGTCACAGAATAATGAGAAACAAACACAGTCTCACAGAAGACGCTAGTGAGTAGCACCTCTCAGTGGCTTATGTTCTTCATCGCCAGAAGCTAGACGTCATTGCTATAATAATGCAGCGTAATGGTTAGACCACTTATCTCCTCTTTGTATATGTTTATTGAATTTTTGTGTGTTTCATACCCAATATCTTATCATCTTTATACCCCTTTCCCCACTGGCACCCTTCCATACCCCTCACTGGATTTCATGCATTCTGTCATTTATTGTAAGGCCTATCAAGTCAAGTTAGTGTACCCAGATATCTCTGAGCTGTAGATGACTGAGGCTCACAGGTTACTTATAAACATACTGAAAAGCTATTGAGCAGTTCTGACCTCATCTTCAAAAAGACATAATATTAAACTGTGAATATGGCTGTAGATGCATATATGAAGTCAATCATTTGGACAAAATCAGTTTCACGCTTATACACTCAATAAAAGCGAAGGCTCTCAGATGTCTCTGTCACTCCTGCTACCTACATAGCTTATTCACTCTCACTGTAAACTGAATTACTGAGCAATCAAGGTCAAAGGCAGCAAAAAGAAGCTTAAGTCATCTAATTTTATGACTTATTAAGAACTCAAAGAATCTAATGATTCAAAGGCTGGAATGAATACTGAGAATGTTATTTTAGACTATCTGTGAATTTCATTTGCTCTCATTACCACAAATGGTGAAAAATTAGCTGTCAAGAAATTTCAAAGCAAGACAGCAGAACAGGAAAGAAAACAGGAATTATTCATCTTGAACATTTTTCTCTGTTAAAATTCTTCAGGTAACATAATAGAGATAATACTGTATTTCTTCACAGTATCATGAACTTTTTTTTAACAGGAGAAAGGATAAGTTATATGGCCAGTGACATTTATTTGGAAACAAGTAAAACTTTTTGTTCCTAGGTCTTTAGCTATGTTTACTGTAAGAAAACCTAACAGTGAGTTGCAGGATTTCAGGAGCATTAAATTGCATTCTTATAGGCCAAAATATTTAGATAACTTGCTCATTAGTAACTTTTAGGATCACGGGCTAATACCTAGTATCTTATCTGTTTTATTTTGGTAACCAGAATTACAACCTCTTCCCACCTAGAAAGTGGTGGCAAACAGTGCTGAGTTTATTCTTCAATCACTCTACAAAATTGTCACCCTAGAGTTCTGTGTATGGGGTGTGTGGTGTGCGTGTGTACTTGTAGTTTAAGTACTTGGTTGGTTTTAACTGTCAACTTGACACAATCACCTGGGAAAGGAGTCACAATGAGAAACAGTCTAGATAAGGTCAGCCTATGAGGGATTTTCTTAGCTGAGTTAAGAGAGGTGGAAAGACTCACCCTGAATGTGGTGGCACTGTTTCATGTGCTGGGCCCTGGACTGATTGAAAAGGAGAAAGTGAGCCGAGCACTAGCATGCATGCGTGAGTTCAGTGCTCTCTGACTGTGAACGTGAAATGACTATTTGCTTCAGTTCCTGCTGCTTTGACTTCCCTGCAATGATGGAATGTAACCTAGAACTGAGAACCCACCCCCTGAAAAAACCCTTTCTCTCTTAAATTGATTTTGTAAGAAGATTTTATCACAGCATCAGGAAATGAAAATAAATCGACTTGTTAGTGTGTGTGTGTGTGTGTGCACATGTGCATTGGGGTACACCTGCACATGTGTGCAAGTGCCTGGGGGTACTGATTAGAGACTGACACTGGGTGTTTTTGTCAATTGCTGTCCACCTCTTGCTTTTTAAGACAAAGTCATTCACTGAACCTGGAGCACCTTGATTCTGCTATATTGGCTGGCCAGTAAGCTTTAGGGGTTTGCCTTCCCTCTCTTTGGGGTTACAGGTGGGGATTTCCATGCCAGGCTTTTTACATGGGTTCTGGGGGTCCAAACTCAGGTCCCTCATGCTGTGGCAAGCACTTTATCAACTGATCCATCTCCCCAGCCCCTGGAATGTATTTTCATGCCTTTCATGGTGCAGTGCACACACACACACACACACACACACACACACACACACACACAGGCTTTCTTTCTAATGGGCTTCAAATTTTCTTGAAACAGATTCGTGAGTTCCACTTTGGTACTCTTTCTACATAGTTGTTTTGAGTTTATATAATAAAACCATACCAATATCTAACAATACATAGTTACATACCTCACTGATTCCACAGTTATATCCATTCTTATCATAGAAGCTTGTTCTTCATTTTGAATTGTAACTGCTATTTCCAATCCAGCATCACTAGTTTGATTTAAAACCATGCCATTGGAACTCTGATGTGATACTCTCTTTACAGAGGAGAGTGGACTCACACATTCTTATGAGCATTAGAGATTGAGTTCTTCTCTATTGAAGTATTTCACTGTCTCGAGGGTGGCTGCAGTTCTTATGCCTGTGACATAATCTCTGGAAAATACACTGCCCAGCTGAATAGCCACTAACCATGTCTTGAATATGTGACATGGCAGATTTTCAAGCCCTCAGCCCCATCTCAGCTACTTTGTAGGCCCTTCCTAGAGTTACCAAAACCATAGCTATTTAAACTTGAAACCAAAGAACTAAAATTTGAAAATGAAGCAGAGCTGTAAGGAGTTCTTTTATAGAGGGCAGCACCTGTCACAAAGCTGCCTTTAAAATTTGGATTATGCCTTCGGTTTCTAAAAAAAAAACAGCACCCTTCCAACTCGGTTCCTGGCGCTTTATTGCCTTATTCTGTACACCCCAATGTATAGCACACACCTGAAGAAAAGGGAGTTTTCCAGGTTGTGGTTTATTTATCAGGTACTTTCCGTTCACTCAGTTAACCATTAGAAAACAGAAAAAAAAAAAAGCCTCCTACTTGTTTTCTTTACTCTCACCAAATAAGACGGAAACTATTAAACAAGGAGGGGAACTCCCTATATTTCACCTTGACCTGCTGGACTAGTCTGATGCCTGTGAGAGGCCGACACTCCGTTAAAGAGATCTGGTAAACTACTACAGAGAAAGCGGGAAGTCCTACTTCAAGATTCTGAAACTACTACTGTCCCAGAGAGCACTGAGAACTACCATCACAGGACTCATATTGGAATTGGTGCTCCTTTCCAAACCAGTGAACTGGAATTCCCTCCTTTGCTTTATTTATTGTGGCAGTGACACTGACCAGGATCTAGGGAGGCATGCTCCTTCCTCAGTCTTCCAGGTCACCACAGCTTAGTCTTCCAAGGCAGCACAGCTCCTGCCACCTCTCAAAAACGATTAAATGCAAGCCCACACAAAGGCCTCCTGTTTCCTCTCCTTAGCTTCTCACTCACTGCTCTGCTGCCATCTGTAACTTCTTGGTTCCGTTTACCGGGAAGGTAACGTTTAAGGCCAAAATATCTACGGTAACCACCCAAAGGCCAAAGAGCCACCATCAGACCCTGGGAAAAAGCAAGGCTGCCCAAGGTCTGTGAGAGTCCAGGCATCTCCACCAGTAGCTCCAGGGACACCCCAAGCGGATTCATCCAACACTCCAAGGGCTGGGGAGACCCGGGTCAGCCTTGGGATGGGACACAGGGCCAGCTCCTAAGTTTGCAAGCAAAGTGGGCAGTGCACATCCCTGGAGCAGAGTGTTGGGGGCGGGGAGAGTGTCTGGACTCCACTTTGAAAGCAGCAGCTGCGGGGCAGTGAGTATCTCCGAACAAAGGAGGAGCGCAGCACCGGGTGAGAGATTGGGGTTCACAGCTGCCACTCGGGCTGAGCGAGTCTCCCATCACACCCGCTAGACGAGCAATGGGGTTCGGGATTTAGGGGAAGAGGGGGGAGGAGAACGCGGCTTGCGATTCCTGTTGCATGGCTACGCACCAGGAATTCTTGTGAACGACCGGAATGGCAACTATCAGATTAGAGGGGGAGAAAAAGAACTGGAGTGAGCAAAACAAAGAGCGAGTGTGGGCCGCGGTGACTTCATGCCTCACCAATGTCCCGCCCACACTACTCCGAGCTAATGCTGCTTACTGCCGCTACTGCTGCTGCTGCTGTCGCTGCCCCGGGCGGCAGCCGCTCCTGCGGGAGACTATAGCGTGGGGCACTATAGCGTGGGGCGGTTTCCTAGCAACTCGCGGCCCCAAGCGCGCCCAGCCACCTAAAGGCTGGAAGCCTGCTGAGGGTACACAAGGCAAGCGCACCCCATCCCCGCCCATCTCCAGCCCTGCCTCCCTCGCATCCTCTCCCTTTGCAGCCCAAAGCGCGCCAGCTGCCAGGGCTCTGGGTGGAGGGGTCGCCTGAGTCACGCACTGGGGCCAAAAGGTCCAGAGCCAGAAGCCCCCGCCCCAAGGTCGGGCTCTGGGAGTCCGCGGACCCTCCCCTAGGGCGCCGGCGGCCGCACGCTCCACTCCGGGCCCCGCAGGCAGCCGCGATGCCTCGCTCGGTGCCGGCGGGCGCAGACCGGCGCTTCTAGGCAGCTCGCGGCGCCCCCCTGCTGCTGGCACCCCAAGCCGCCTCTCCTGCCAGTCGGGTCGCTGCCGCTTCGTCCTCGGCTAGCTGTTCTGCTGCAACTAAGTGCAGTGGGCCTCCCTGCCCACCTGTGGAAGAAGCTCGCGCCGACAGATGCGCCTGAGACTTTTTTTTCTCTCGCCCTCCGTCCTTGTAGTCGTCCCCTCCCACAAATGCAGCATCACCCAGTGAATTACATTAGGGTGGTTTTCCCCCCAGCCTCGGGCTTTGTTTGGGTTTGATTGTGTTTGGCTGTTCGCTAAGCTGATTTATGCAGCAGAGCCCCATCGGCTGGAGAGAAACAAAAGCTCTTTTCTTTGTCCCGGAGCGGACTGCGGAGCCCTCTCTCGCTTCGCGGCCGCCGGCCATCGGTTGTCCCAGGAGCTGTCTGCGGCCGAGACCTCGGGGCCAGCCGTTCCGAGCTGGGAGGGCCGCGGGGGCCCTGAGATGCGGAGAGCTGCCCTGGCCCGCGTACCTGCACCGCCTACTCCGAGCCGCGGGGTCCGGCTGCCTGGCCTGCGGGAAACGTCGTAGGGACTCTCGGCCCCGAGGTGCGCCCCGGAGGCGCGAGCGCGCATCCGGAAAGCCGCCAGGCAGCGGGCGCGGGGCGGGCTGCTTTGCATTATGTGCGGCTCGGCCCTGGCTTTTTTTACCGCTGCTTTGGTCTGCCTGCACAACTGCCAGCGAGGTCCTGCCTCGGTTCTCCGAGCGGCCTGGGTGTTTTCACTTTTTCTTGGACTGGGCCAAAGTGGTAAGTTGTTTTGCTTTGTTTTCTTCCTTTCTCCCAAAGTCTTGGGCTGGCACCCAGCGCTTCCTGGCTCAAGCATCCCGGACAGGTAAGTGGCGGATGTCAGTCGTGATCAGCCCTGAGACTTCAGGAAGGGAGGATGTGTGGCAGCGTCCACCATTGCCGGCGAACTCCGAGAGGCCAGGTGTCAAGTATTTCCGCCCCGGAGTGACAGCAATAGCGAACTCTGCTAGGACACACTTCGTGTTCCACCGCGCTATTCTTGAGTAGAAGTTTGGGAAGGAGAGGGTTGTACTTAAGAAGCCAATTTAGGGATCCCAGCATATTCTGAAGATATTTCAAATACAGATTGTATCCCTAACTTTCCAGTATTTTGACCGGTCCACTAAGCATTTGACTCAAAGCTTCAAAGCTGTGTATTATGATGGTTTATCATGGGAAGAAAACAAAACGGTCCATGAAAGAATAGCAATACAAGTTTCTCTTACCATAAGATTCAGTCTGAATGAATTAATTACCTTGAGGAATGGCCATTCATGCTCTCTCCCACTGGCAGAGGCCAGATGCTGCAGATGCAGTTCAGAAAGGGAAATAGCATATTTTTAATACTTTCTTGGTCAAAAGCACTGTTTGTCAAAGATTTTCTCTCTCTCTCTCTCTCTCTCTCTCTCTCTCTCTCTCTCTTGATTTCTCGCTGAGTTCAGTCTCTGACCGGGAGACAGAACCCTGGTACCAACCTCAGACTTTCCTTGGTATAAACTTTGCTATCCGCATTGGCTGAACAGTGAGTGAAAAGAGACTTGGGATCTTGGGTTTTTATAATCAAAATCAAATGCAAGGTGATAGCATTGTATTGTTGTCAAATCATAAAACAAAATAAGCATTAATGTTGGTAATCAGTTTAGGATCAAGCTTTCCATAAGGAGCCAGGTATTTATTTTTGTAAATGCAGTAACTTTTCATATTTTAAAAAAATTCACTTTTTTTCTATTTTGCTCATCAAGTCCCTAAATTCTATTAGATATTTAACTGTAATCTCTTAGCTACAGTTTAATTAATAGGTATACTACTATTGTAGACTAAAATTTACTCCTGTGCTGTGAGTTCATGTGCCAACTTTCTGCCGGAATCTAACTAAAGCATAAGCGTCTATTTGCAAAATTTTAATGGAAAAATCCAGCTAATGTCTTTTAATTGTTACATAAACAGTTTCCTAACATTTGTTTCATCGAGAATTGCTTAGTTATCTGAAACAGGGCAAATTAGAGTAAAATTTTATCTTGTGGTTATTTTGAGGCTTAGGTATTAATTTCAAAATAACTGAACCAATGCAAAGGAAAAACTCACACTTATTATCAATTAGCCCTTAAATGGAACATATATTTGTTGCAGCAGATTTTCCACTGAGTCTGTCTCTTTTTAATAAGTAATAAAATATCTTTTTCCAGATTTAGTAAACATTCACATTAGTAAAATGACCAAAATTTATGTCAACAGGATATATCTTGTTCCTAACAAAGTCGTATTTGTCTCTAGAATTTGCTAATAATAGAGATTTTAAAAACTTCACTGTGCTTATCAAGACTAGTCAAGTTTTTGTGTACTAGCATTGCATTTGCATCCAGGGACTATCACTGGTTTGAAGCAAGTATTATCAATGGGCTGCCTTGCACCTGCTGACCTGAAAAGTGAATGCTTATCTGAAATCAAAACAAGGCATCCTTTTCCTAGTCCCTGTCAATATACAAAGGCTTCTGATGCATACTGATTTGCATGGTAGTTAAAAACATGCAAAAAATTTAAATTACAGTCACTACCACTCAGCAAATTAGAGATCAGCATAAACAGCTGTACTTTTGTGATATAGCTACAAGTCTTAAATTATATGTCTTTACTGTGCAAATTAGATGCTTAAAGCAGAATAGAAATTTAGGTATCAGTTACAAAGGAAATCTTGTTCTTATGCCCAGTAGTTTACACCAAGAAAATGTTGAGGGCAAGAAAGCCATACTAAGAAGACCATAAGCTACAGGAAAAAAAGCAAGTTTGGCTCCAATTTTGAAGTAGAATTTATACATACAAATTCATAGTAGACTTTAGTAATGCGGGTCCATTGAGTGCAGAGTGTCTGAGTACAGTAGGCATAGCATGTTATGAATGAGATTTAAATGTTTCTGATATAAGAAAAACTTGTTGCAATTCTTTAAAACTTTTGCCGGCAGAAATTATTGGCAATTGGAGACAATTAGGGTTATCAACACTGACAGTAAAAATAATAATAAGAAGAAGAAGAATTACTGAGGAACACTTGCTGGTTGATATCTAGGACTATTGTATATAATAATGGCTTTGTTTCTACATTAGCTAATTAAAAAATATTAAAAATAACTCCTGCTGCCCAATTAGATAGGAATAGAAAATGAAACATTGCAAAACATAAGTTTTTTAACAGGTGGTAACTCTTACTACAATGAAATGTCATCTTCTGTTTAGTCAACTGTCAGGTTTTTATTTTGTTCCATTACAGTCAATCAACAGAAGTAATATTGCTTGTGACTTCAGCATGTTTTTCCCTCAAAACAGATTTTAATCCCATAAAGTAGTCTCAGAATCCCCCCCCCATTTTCGTATGTGTGTATGTGGTGTGCTTGTGTGTATGCATGTTTCTGCATGAGTGACAGCACACATATGTGGGTACACATGTACGCATTAGGGCCTGAGGTTGATTGATGTCAGAACCGTCCTAGATCACTCTTTCATCTGAGTGATGAGGCAGGGTCCCTCAGTCAAACCCTGAGTTCAGCAGTATAGCTAGCCTTCGTAGGCAGCTTGCTACTGAGGATCCTGCCTTCTCTGACTAGAATTACAAGTGGACCCCCACTCACACCAACATTTTTATGTTATTTTCTGGGACTTTGAACTCTGGTCCTTGTGCTAACAGATGAACCGTCTCCCCAACCCCTAGAATTCTTTAGCTTATGGAACCAATAAGATATTTAAGAGAACTAAGGCTTCATCTGGAAAAACTTCAATCTTTCAAGTTACAATGTACCCATAGTAATTCTATCTCCGAGCAACATGGACATTTTGGGATTGGTTTAAAAGTCAATGGTGCTTGTAAGTGCTTTGAAAGAGTCATCCAAGCTTGTTTTCAACAGATTCACCTCACCACTCTGAAACTTTGTGACTAGGCTTTCTTTACCACCCTGCAGTTCTACTCTGTTCAGATCTGGTAGCCACCCAGAGGTCAAAACTGATGGCCAATCCTTAGTTATCACCATGTTTGACTTACCATCAGTCAGTAGCTGATACCATCCACCCTGCCCTCAGACCTGTGTGTGATCTTCAGGTTTAAGCCCTTTCTCCATCTCGGATATTGTGTCTTGTTCATCCTACAGACTCCTAGGGCAGGAGTGACCTGGGAATTTAGTCATTGTATTTCTTCCTTATCCATACAGTGACCTCAAGTGGATTGATCCAGCTTTGGTTTTCAAATTCTATTTTCATGATGACTCCACCCAGATATCTCCAGCCCTGAACTTTTGTTAAACATCCAGAAGACACAGCAAACTGCCTATTCAGCCTCCCCGCTCTCTGTCTAAAGGCAAAATAGATCCTGATATATTCAAAAATTCAAAACCAAACTCCTAAATTTCTAATCCCTGGCTTGCTCCTTTCACACCTGATCAACCCAGTCAGTGGGGGACTCAGCCTTCTGGTAGTTCAGGCTAACACTCAGTGAAGTCCTTGATTGTCTGTCACATTGCACAGTCCATTCATAATGCCCATTGCCATCACTCTGGTCCATACAACCTTTTCTTGCTCCACATCTTGGCTTCCTTGCTTCACAGTATGCCACAACTCTTTGGTAAAGATGTCCGTTAGGTCTTGTCACTCCTCTACTCAAAACTCTACATAGCTTTCATCTGTCTCAAATTGAAGGCCAAGTCTTCCCATGGCCTTATCCATCCTACATTAGCTACCCATGCTGACCATCTGGCTACCTTTCCCTTTCTCATAGTTCTAGAAGCACTGGCCCTTGCTGTACCATGGTGGTACCATATAGAAGCCTACTCCCAGTCTTGACTGTGTTGTGCTCTAACCCTGAGCTTTGTTGATGATTCCTTCACTATCATTTCCTCCTAACATCTAGGAAAATATTGCCCTATGAAAGAAGGTATCTCTGTCTTCCCTATGAGCCCTATCTAACCCAGTATTCTGCATCTCTTACTTTCATAGCTGTTAGTGTTCCTTGTTATACTATATGTTGGTTTCTTTGCTGTGCTATCTTTCCAACCCCTAAACTAGAATACAGCTTATGAAGGGAAGCATTTTGCTCTCTCTCTGAAACATGCCAACCTTATAAAAAGCATCAGAACACACTTACTGAGGAATCAAGGAATTAAAGAAGAAACAGATTTCTTCCAGATTGAGTCTCAGGTTGCTTTCTTGTTCAATTCATGGCAAGGATTGACTAACTTTTTCTTCTCTTTGTAACAAATAGATGAACTTAAAACCAAGTTCTAATATGTTTAATAGAAAATAAAAATTTATTTCAAAAAAGTTACTTTCACATTTGTTATCCAAATGAAGAGAAAAGAGATAAAAATGGATCAGCTGTGAAGAGCACTGGCTGTTCTTCCAGAGGACCCAGGTTCAGGTACCAGCACCCACATGGCAGCTAACAACCATCTGTAACTCCAGTTCTAAGGGATCTGATGCCCTCTTCAGGCCTCTGTGGGCATTGCATGCACATGGTGCACTTACATGCAGACGATGCACTCATACACATAAAATAAAAATGATTAAATCAAAAAAATTTTAACGGGGAGAAAAGATATCCTAATAATACTGATTTCACTGTGACTTGGGAGAGTGCATTCTAATTTAATAAAAGCTGAATCCCTCCTCTGGCCTCTTTTTTGGTTGTTGTTTAGAAGAATTATAAAATCCATACAAAATTTTCACATAGGAGAAAGGCTAACCAAATAGAGAAACTTCTC